TCGGACGACTGGGACTACAGGAGCCGATCGTCGAGCGCCTCATCCATACAGCGAAACATGATATTCACCGCTCGGCAGATGTCTGTGGACGCGGACACATCCAGTCTGGACTTGTCGTACCTCAATCTGGACACCAACTCCGTCGGCGCCAACATGACTCAGTTCACCGCCGGCCCCACCACTGACACCACCGCCCCCGCCGGCAACAACCAATTGGCCACGATCAATTTGAGTGGCAATCGACTCACTGCCATACCGTATCAGTTGACCGCCTATACCCACCTGCAAATGCTAGACCTGTCCCATAATCAATTGACCGAGATTTGTGATACCGTATGCCAATTAACTCAATTGCGAACACTCATATGCGCTAACAATCGCCTTGATGAAAATAGTTTGCCCAAAGACTTTGGCCAAACATTCGCCAACTCCTTGTCGGTGCTATCGTTGGGCGGAAATATGGTTTGTATGATGTTTTGTGCTCTCTCTCTCTCTCTCTCTCTCTCTCTCTCTCTCTCTCTCTATCTCTCTCAGATTTAATTAGATCTCAATTAGATAAACCAATTAAAAGTTTTATTAGTTTAAGTTTTTAGTGCTATAAATGAGACAGCAATTTCTCTCTCATTACAAAAATTGTTATCATGTGTTTTTGGCAATTAATACAAACAATGAAAGTGTATTTAAAATAAGGCCAAAGACTTTAAAAAGTCATTCACAGTCAATGAATAAACACTATTTATCACTAAATTTATAAATTATAATAAATATTTACAACAAAAAAGTTAAAAAACAAACACAAAATTTAAATAAATATCAAATAAAAGCTAATAAACAAAAACTAATTTATAAACACATTATATAACTATCAAAAAGTTAATCATTGTTTATCTATCGGGCAATAGTTTAAGGCAATACCTGCACAGATCCTGGAGCTCAAGTCGCTGAAGTCCCTCTACTTGGGCAGCAACGCCATCGAGTCGGTGCCGCGCGATATACACCGACTCGAGTCCCTACGGGTGCTCTATTTGGGCGGCAATCAGTTGGAAGAGATGCCCGAAGAGGTGGGCCGTCTGCAGCACTTGGAATCGCTGTCTCTGTGCGAGAACCGACTGCGAGCCCTACCGTCGACTATCGCCCAATTGAAATCGCTTCGGTCGCTGGCCCTCCACCGCAACTGTCTGACCACTTTGCCGCCCGAAATCGTCAAATTACGTTATCTCATGGAACTCTCCCTCCGAAACAATCCACTCGTCATGCGTTTCATCAGAGATATGATGTAATCAACCGCTCATTCATGCGGTGTTCAATTAGTTGTTGTTGTCTTTAATTGGTGTCTCATTATCTGATCCACAGGTACGACGTGCCCAGTCTTATGGAGCTGTCGGCGCGCGCTATCAAATTGAACAAGCTCCATTACAGCGGCCAAGAGTTGCCCAACTGTATGATCAATTATCTCAATAGCGCCCACCGTTGCGTTAATCCCAAGTGCAAAGGTATCGTGCCGTATGATCACATTGATAAAACACCCTTGATCAATTGCAACTTAATTGTATTTATCATGTTTTTTTTTGTTGCAAAACAGGTGTGTACTTCGATTCACGTATTGAACACATAAAGTTCGTGGACTTCTGCGGCTCATACCGGTTGCCACTCCTGCAGTACCTGTGCTCTCCCCAGTGCTCCGACAGCTCTGTGTCATCGCTTGCCCGCAGCAGCAGTTCCGACGACGAGTCCGACACCAATACCTACGAAGAGATGATCACTGAATTCAGGCTCAAGAGAGTGTTGTTGGGCTAATGCGAGTCGTGATTGCATTCTTCGAGCCATTCATTACATGATTTAAACGCTATTAATGTTATAATTAAACCAAAAATATTATTGATTATCGACTCAACTCTCGATTAATTCACAACTTTTTTTTGTCGTAATTGTATATTGAATTAGGATTTTTGATTTTTAATAAATTCAATTTATACCTCAATTCATGAGTTTTCATTTCTAATTCAAAATCTGAGAGAGAGAGAGAGAGAGAGAGACTAATTTAATTAAACAATTCTGATGGTAAATGTGATAAATTTTGAACACATAAAACACATGGTTATGTTTAATTGTAAATAATTTTAATTGTTTTTATATGCAATTAAAAGTTTTGTAATTAATAAAAATATTTGCATTTTACGCAAAATTTAGTTTTAATTGATTTAGTGATGATTTATGTTCATTGAGTTATTTATCATTTGATAATAAGTTTACGTTTAGTTTTCTTTATATGTTTTCACATTTAAGTAGTTTTTGTGGAAAATGATTGAAAAATATGTATAATAGTAAAGTTTTTCCAATCAATGAATAATTCATTTAATCATTGGATTAATAAAAGGCTTATTATTGAACACAAAGTTTTGTGTTTGAATACATTTTTATCATTTAGTAATAACTAGAGCTCGAAATATTCGGGAATAAAAACATACAAATTCGGGAATTACGTTTTTATTAAATTTTCAAACGATAATTATGCAATTAAGTGATTCTAGAAAAGTTTATATACAATTTTGACGCAAAATAATGACATTTATTGGAGTAAACATAATTGACAACAATATAATTATGCCGTTTGTATTTAATGTTTTATATTGTCAATAAGAATCATATCCATATGCATTGGTTTTATCTATTCCATTGCAGTATACTATAAATTTATCGCAGATTAGGTAAATTTTGCAGCATATTTTGGTATTCATTTAGCAAATTCGTTGGTGTTTTGATTTTATTATTGAAAATAAAGTGTATTTCCAAACCATTTTTGACAAAAAATAGGCATTTCGGGAGTTTCCCAAAAATATGCCAAAATCGGGAATTATCTCAAAATATGCCAAAATCGGGAATATTCGGGAAAATAAAAGTTGTTAGTTTTTACTCTATTATAACCCCCAAGACTAACTGGATGTTATTCCCGAACATTATATTATCTTAATTTATTCGGGAATTCCCGAATTTTTCGAGCTCTAGTAATAACTCGTTTATTAATAGACTTTTGTTTCCAGTTTTACTGTAAACTTTACAGTGTAAAGTCATCACTGATTTGTGTTTTAATTAATTTTGATTAAATTGTCAATAGTTTGTGATAATTGAGTGCTTGTGTCCATTGAAGACATGGACTCATTTCGAAGTCATGTCATGAATGACGATATCTTGGGACTCATTTTCAATGAACTAAATGTGAAACAATTGTTGAAATTAGAGTCGGTTTGCAATCAATTCATGGATTGTATCTCAAGAATGGATTCTGAGGGAAGTGCTCTCCGGAGGAAGAATGCGTTGGCCATCGGATCCTTGGATTTTGATTTTCAAAAAGATTTCAATACATTCATAGACGGAAACATCACTGAAGCCATTGTCTGCAAAGACTATAAATATGATTTGATTGAAAGCAAAGACCCATTGGATTCAATACTCGGGAAGTGTTTGAATATAAAGTGTTTGCATTTAAACTGTGCTTCAATTGATGGACAGATAATAACATTGATTATCACTCGATGTCCGCAACTGAAGAGTTTGCATTTGAAGCACACTTTTGTCAGTACGTCAGTCACTGAGGAAGAGGTGATGAACGCGTGGACGCAATTATTGTCTCCATTATCCCACTTGACTCTCGAGGGAGAGATTGATTATAATATACCACAACTGTTGCCTCAACTATCGTCACTTGAATCGATTGAATTGAATTGTTTACAGCATAATAATGCGGTCATCGATGAAATATTAGAATATTTTCCACGAAGTATTCGTTGTCTCAAATTAATATTCATGTCAATAGATTGGGATCAAGTGTTGCCAAAGATTTGCGCATATTTTAAACTCAACCGTTTGGACATTAAATTGTGCGGAAGTTTGTCTCCGGAAGTGTTCACCGAAAACATACCAAAACTGAATGAATTGAGATATTTATATATCGATTCAACGCTTAATTTAATTACAAATGTCGTGCAATCGATGGCTTCACTAAAATGTTTACACTTGAATTATCACGTATTTTCTCCCAAAATGTGTCGTAAAGTTACGCAAATCTACCCAAATGTTAAACATTTACGATTACAACTCTTGTACATTAAATGCGAGTGCAATGAACACAATGTGGACACCGATGACGGCGACCATCAAGTCCTTGATTGCCTGCAATGTATATACGATAGCATGCATTCGGTGTCACAATTGCCACAACTTAAACGATTGTGTTTTAATTTCTTATCTAATGACTGGTGTATTGGATCTAATGATATGAAACTCTTCACTGAACTCGACTTCTTGTCGTTGAATTGTTTTTTCTGTCCAGAAATTGAAATTTTCATTGACTTTGTATTGCATTGCATTGAAAACAGACTCTCGAAAAAGTTATTCACACTTAATTTGGATCCATATTTTGTGGACTCACTTATCGATCGTTTAAATGATATGAAAGTTACGATTCCTAAGAATTTTATTATTGCCAATAAATTCCTGTAGTAATTAAAATAATAGTCAACTAAACGTTTATAATAATATTTATAATTCATAATTTGATTGTCAAATAACTTTTCTGTTAATTATATTTGTTTTATAAATCAATTGAATCTACAAAATAATTGTGAAATAATATATTGAGTCCTTAAAATTTGTCAATTTTATATGAAATTTATAAACCCTATACTTATTTAATACAATTAAAAATGTTTGTCAATATTCAACCGCTTGTTATATAATTATAAATAAGTTATAATTTTTTAAAAATAAGTAAATTAAGTGTAAGTTTGGACCAAAACGTTGACACAAATCACTCGGATTTCACGTTACGCTTCACTTGAAGCACCTTTTGCTGGACGTCCGCACACTTCTTCATCAACTCCTCCTCAGTCAACCTCTGGAGCTCCAGAACTTCCCAATACTCGTCGCGAACCAACTGGACGTCACTCTGGATGTGCTTCAGATGGGCGATCATCTGTGAACAGCTCATCACTATTGGCTGGTCATCGGCACCGCTGCCACCGCCGGCGCATCCATTATCACCGGCGGTCATATTTTCAGCTGTCTTGCGCTCCAATTGGTATAGTATTTGCAATCATGACAATTATCTTCTACCAAAGTATACTCTGGCCTCCCATCTCAGCGTCAATCCAATCGCATTCACTCAACAATATAACACATTTAATACAATTATTATTAAATTAATTGTGATTATTACAAAACATGGTCAACACTGCGCGCGTATTCAAACAAATAAAAAAAATTATTTAAATAATTATCAAATTATTTAATTTGACACAAATTTTACTTATTAACTGTTGTATTAATCGTACACTTCTTCACCGCACCATTGAATCCAATTGAATGACAATAAAAATGTGTTTAAAAGTGGATAAATATCTAATGATATCAATATGTCTATCGATGGCAATGTATGTATCGCTGGCGCCGATCACTCCGGAGACCAGTTTCGGTGACCTCAACGACAAGACCACTATCTGGACGGGTGTGGCGGTCGGTGTGATCGTTGCCATCCTATTATGTCTCGCGTGTGGCTATTGTTGTTGTTGTTGTAAAAGAGGTGACAATAGAGACGATCCGAACGAACCCAAGAGTCCGACACCGGATGACATCAGTGGCGGCGGCGGTGGCGGCGAAGACAAGGACACAAACGGCAAAGACAAAGACACCGACACCGGCGATGAAGAGGACACCAAACCGGAGCAAAACTACTCGTATATATTCGGCTTTTATAAGTCGACGATTTTGGACAAACAAAAACGCGACAAACAGTCGGCCCGTAAGAAAAAGAAAGGTAAAAAGGCCTCACCTAAGCCTAAGTCGGGCGCCACAGGCGGTGGCATTACTCTCGTCCCGTCCAAGAAGTCCAACTACGGTCCCAAACCGAGTTCGCCCACCAAATCGGGAGCCCCGACAAAGACGCCGCCCAACAAATCAGATAATAAAAAGAGTGACCAAAAAAGGGATCAAAAGAGTGACCAAAAAAGTGATAAAAAGAGTGGCCTAAAGGGCGACCAATCGATGGCCAGCGATGTTAAGAGTCCTGCAAATGAATACAAGCCTAAAGTGGTGTCCAAAGACCCGTCGTTAGAGATGTCCAAAGAGTTGCCGAAATATACATCCAATATATCGTCCGGTAATAACCGACTCGAATCCAACGCGTGGTCGGCGTTGGGTCCGCCCGCGGAGTCCGATATCAGCGGCGGCGGTGCGGGTGGTGTCGACTCAGACATCGGGCCGAAAGTGGTGTCAACAGTGCCCTCAAGGGTTGGTCAGACAAATGTGAGGTCAAAAGTGGGCTCTAAAGTGGTGTCAAAAGTCGGGTCAACGATGAAAGACACGACTAAAAAGGGATCGGAGGTCAACGACGGCGGGCTCTCTATGTTTGACTCTAATCTCAACGAATAATGTGGTCTTCGGTTAGTGTCGTCTCTGTTTTTAGTCCAAAATAACACAATTATAACCAAATTTCTCTCTAAACATATAATTAATTTTATTTGTGAATAAATATTCTCATCATTTTAATTGAATATTACTATTGCGAGAGAGAGAGAGAGAGAG